ATCATATTTTTTTGTAATAAAAACAGTGGTTACTTTGAAATCATCAGGCTAAATTGAAATCATAACAGGAGTTACGCTTAAAGAGATGATTACATGAAACATTATTCATTAGGACTTCTGTGCATAAGAAATAGTCATGAATAGAGAATGATCAAGCAATAATGATGTAAGGATATAGTGTGATGATTAAACAAATAATGATAGTGTGTAATTTCAAGGCTGGCGTGAGACGAGCAAAGTCTAAATTGGGAAATATGGCAAAGCAAATAATATTACCTACTAGTGAAGAACTCACACGTGTAAAAACATTCACGAGTTATTTATGTAAGGAGACCCTTAGGTACTCGCTCAGAAATAAAAGCTAAGTTCATTTTGTACAACATGACTTACATGAAACTGTAGAGACAAATAGAAGGTTAGAACATTATATTTACGCGGGTATTAACGCGGAAAATTATAATTTGAATACCTTGGTAGGCTTGACGTTTCGACCCGGTTGCACAGGTCGTGGTCACAAGCAGACTGAAGACGCGATGTCACAGCTCCCTGCATTCGGGTGATGAATCTTCATCTACCCCCTTATTTTCATTTTCTACCATATTAGGCCGTCTACACACTACGCTGATTATATCCACAGATGTGTTAACCGACTTTGAAGGAAAGCGAGGTTGTGTTTTGCGAAGCACTGGATTCCACGTCGACGACAATTTAAAGCCGTCCTCCCGATTGAAATTATTTGGGCATTTCTTTATTTCAACCGCTTCACGCACAAGTCTTGTATGGTAGTGGCGATCAGTGGAGAGAATTTGCGGTCGGTGGAATTCTACCCAGTGATTAGAACCAGCCTGGAGCAGGTGTTCTGCTATCGCTGATTTGTTGCTCTGTCGGTTTTTGACTGCGGCGATATGTTCTTTGAGCCTCTCAGCAATGGTCCGCTTCGTTTGCCCAATGTAGGAACTACCGCAGCTGCAGTTGATCTTATAAACACCTGGGCTTTGTAGCGGCAGTACATCCTTCGCCGTGCCTACCTTATCATGAAGTTTAGCCTCAGGTGTGTAGATCGTCGGGATCGAAAACTTTTTAAGGACGGATCCTATCTTGTCTGTCACACCCTTGATATAAGGCATGAAGGCAGGTTGTCTGCTCACGTTTGGATGTCTGGCTCTCTTCAGCGGTCGCAATAGTCGCCCATCCCCTACACTATATCCGTTCTTTTTAAGTACCTCCTGAACATGGTCTAGCTCTTGCCCCAGATGTTCAGGGTCACAGAGGTCATATGCTCTGTTTTTTAGTGATATCATCACGGATTGTAAGTGTCGGGGGTGGTGATGTGACTTTGCATGTAGGTACCGATCAGTGTGAGTTGGCTTTCGGTATACACAAGGTATTCAAATTATAATTTTCCGCGTTAATACCCGCGTAAATATAATGTTCTTAAGATGAAACGCGAAAGTTTAAAAGTTAGTATAGGTTAGAACATGACTTACATTTGCCGTTTACTAGTAGTGTTTCAAATTTTTAGTCTCTTATGTTATTTATGCCATAAAACTCTGTGGTGCTTATAAAATATGTAGTATTTTTCCAAAAAAATCACACGAACTAATTAATCTTTTTATATAATATACCTATTAAGTAAAAAAAAAAATGATGAAGCTAAAAAAAATTCAAACTGGTGTAAGAAGAATAAACTGGAGAATCAACAACGAAGAAAATCTAAGTTTTAACCAAACAAGTTTGGTGTATCTTCAAAGATATATTGTTAATTAAGACCGTTAATTGCATTCCAAAGAAAACTTCTCTGACTTTACGCTAGCGTTCAGATAATTAGAATGTTTTTCACACGAAAACCACAATTAAGAAAATGTTAAACTTATTGCTGTTGAGGATTTGTAATTTGCTTTTCTAATTTATTTGATCCTTTTCGCTAGAAACAATGAACATTCTTAAGTTTTCAATGAAGTTAACATATTCTTGTCAATTTAATAGATGGAAATGGTTTGGAACATCTATTTTTCTGAAGATATTGTAAAAGAGTTATAAAGACGTGAACTTGAAATAAGTTTTTTGTTGCTTGTAGTCAAGTAGATTGTAGTTTTCCTGTATAACGTATAATAAAATTAAATGTAAACAAAAATATTACACACGGTTCGGTATAGATAAGGCAGTTAACCAATAAATGTTTTTCATGGCCTACAGTTTGTAAACCACGATGCTAACATCTAGAAAACATAATGATAAGTGATCGTGACCTCTCAACTTATTAAGTAATGCGGAATATTTTTAATTACTACAATAACCTAACCTTACTTTTTTCCTTTAAACAGATACCTTAAATAATAAATTAGTGTTCAACCACCTACTGATTGTGAATAATTGGAACGAATACGTATTTCATATATAGCTTTCTTATTTAATAAAATTCTAATAAGAATAGGGTATTAGTTGTACATAATATATATCTAACAAAGTTTATACATATTTCCTAAGTTTCTTGAACGTGGTGTGTCGTTGTTCCCTAGTGAACAATTTATCATTAGAAAATGGAGAGCGAAGAAAAGATTTGCGAATGTACGAAGAAATCCTTGACCTTCTAAAGAACCAGTAATGTTAATTTTATCACCGATAAATTCAAATGGCTCTTACGTAATGTTATACAGACAATACATGTCTGCCAAATTGAGTTTAAAATAGATTGCAATAAACAGTGTTGAACTGATCCAGACGAAGCCACAAAAATAATGAAACGGAAAGGTCTGAATGTCGAAGCGATATAAAAAGCAAAAAAGCGGAACACACATAACAATCTGCGTGACCTCAAAATGCTGCATGCAGCTTTCAAGCGGAGGGTTCGTCGGCTGTAAACGTGATGGGACTCACTGAACTTATAGAGAAAATGAATTTTACATCCGAAGATACAGAAGTAAAATAAAGAAAACTCTGATTGGATTATATGAACGTCTGTAAAAAGAAAACAGTGATAACACAATTTGAGACAAAGAAATGTTATTAACAATGCTTTTTGAGAAGAATTGACAAAAACACTTGTGTTATAAGTATGGTTGAACCGGCAAAGTTGTCTAAAAGAAACCACATTGTCTGAAATGAAATGTACTAGACGTTACAAACACACGAATTGAAGATAGATTTAATAAATGTAATTGAATTCTAGACTTCCATTTTAACAGATTTTGTTGAAATATATGCGAACCAAATTGATTGAAATAAAAAGTTCTCCGTATCAAATATCAGTCATTTGCAGGAGAATAGCTATCGGAAAAATCTTTTTCACGGACAATTGCACTTCGTTCGAATACTTTTTACGAGATTAAAGATGTGACGAAAATAGAATGAGAAATTAGAGAAAAGTTTTCGTTGATGAAATTTATATAAAGTGTGATAAAAATTAAAGAAACAGATTTTATAGTAAATATCCGAGAAACGTATTATGTTTAAGAAGAAATTGAAATTGGTTGTGATTTTTATAATGTACGCCCACATTATAAAAATCACAAATTAGACAAAAAGCTTAAAACAATACACAAATAAAAATCACGAAACGAACGAGACACATTACAACTTAGAAAACGTACATGGGAAGAATCTTGCCATTGAAATACATAAAGAACTAAATTTGATAGTAAATTTATTTATAACAAATGAGAATAAGCAGTAAACAATAGACGAAAATACCTTTCCGTATGAATAAACAGAAACAGATGTTAATACAATGTTGTTAAAACATATTCAGTTATAGACGTGCCAAGTGTCGTACCAGTATGATGAGATCTAAACGCCAAAATGCCTGTCCCTGACACACAGTTAGTAAGCCAGGTGTTGTTCAAACGCATAATGAACATGTTCAAAACATTAACAAGAATCGAAACTAGGTTATCAAACTATATTTCATATGCCAAAGTGTTATAAAAACAACTGCGAAGAAAGCTTAGAACACAGATAACCAAACAATTAAATAAACATTATTTAAAAAGGATATAACCATAGCAATCTTGCTAACGCTCTACAATAAGATTTGGATTGAAACAAGCATAATGGCCTAAACGACAGACATAATCGCAAATCAAAGCCCTAAAAAGATTAACAAGCGCCTGTACATCTTAAGGGACCTAAATTAAATGTAGATCAGTCAATAGGGAGCGAGAAAGTATCCTATATTGAACGAACTGCTTTACAACTTGACTTTTCAGAAATCTAGGAACCAACAAAGTATGATTCTATATTTGAGCCTTTTGTAGGTTTTATTGAGTGAATTCTGTGTAAGTTATAACGGAGGTATAATGTTACAAAGGTTGTACGAAAATTTTACAACGAATGTTGGTGTTGTTTTATGCATGGTCGGATCTTTAAGTAGTTGTAGTAATAATTTATCTTTCTTTTAAAAATATTCAGTGAAATTCTTTGCAAATTTTAAAATAGCGGTTCCTATATTTTTTATGGAAAAAATTATGCAATTATACACAAGCATAACGGTCTTTGGTACTTATTCAAATATTTTGCATAATAATGTTTTCACCCAAGGTAACAGAAAATACTGTGGTTATGAAATTTTACGACGTTTCTAGGAAATTTTGCCGTCTGTTTTATGGCTTCTCCACTTTTATAGTTGTTAATTTAGTTAATTCGCAAATTGATAGTTATTAAATTAACGAAAGTGCTCTAAACGAGGTTGAAATGACGCGATAAGGCTTTTACGCCAAACATATAGTCACTTACGAGCATTACACTGGCAATCCTGTATGTACAAACCATAATGTTGTAAAACGTATGACGACAGACCAAGCTGACCTTAATAACAGAGAGTAGGTATAATGAAACTTATAAAATAAATAATAGAGAAAATTTTACTTACCTTATTAAAATATATGTATCAAATATCTTTATTAAACTATAATAAAAATGTTGTTAAGGATCCTGGAATGAACACTGAAAGTACGGAGAAACAAATACATGCAATGATAAAAAAATCTTATAGCTAGGCCTACCTGATGACGTAATTCACGCAGACCACGCTGATAGGCTTCTGTTGCTTGTCGGTGATGACGGTGGCCTGGGTTTGGACCCAGGCGTATCCGCCAGTTTTGGCGAGGAAGCGATAGCGCCCAGTCTCGCATTGCCCCTTCGAAAACACTGCAACAAAGATATACAAACGTCACAAACAACGTATAACATGCTTTGATCTGATATTCTTTGATGTGTCGTGTTCGTAGGAATCTATTTCCTCCTATCAATTTTGCTATTGATTCAGTGTCCATTATGAACATCGGAAAGCTTTTGGGTGTACTGTATTGACATATTTCGTCTTACTAATCAAGAATTTGGTTTTCAGTTTAGGAAGACTGGAAAACTTTTTACGCTGTTTCAATTGCATTTATAAAATTATTGATTAGTCGCGATATATCAGTATCATAAATATGATCTATACAATCAGTAACGACTGATTAGCTGATAAAAATAATTAGGTAATAAAACGTATATATCCTATTCCATAAAAAACTTAGGCTAGGAGAATAACAGTTCAAGAACAACGTGAGAAATAAACCGGTAATCAGCAAACTACACAAGAATGGCGTTCAGTTGAAGAAAACAAAATTCAAGTGTCACATTTAACGATGATAGCCAAAACGATTATAAAAAGGTGTACATCCAAATAAAATGGTAATTACTGATTTTGATAATATTTAAATGCAACAAGGTGGCTGGCAGTGGTTAGATGAGAAGAGCGGAACAGCTCAGTGGCGTGCAATTGGGGAGGCCTATGCCCGGCAGTGGACGATATCAGGCTGATGATGATGATGACGAAATGCAAAACTTCTTAAAGGATAATAAGAAAGGTCATCAACAAAAATAGGAAGAACGATAAATCGAAATAAATGATTCATAGCTGTTTCTGGAAATTCTGCATATTATTATGGTGATATAGTGTATGAAAATAATATAGTTGCAGATCGTATTAAGGATACCCAAGACGCCATTACGTGCCGTAAGGTACAATGCACGATTGTGCCAATTACATTTTAAATTGAATAAAATCAAGAAACGTACAGTATAGACCATTCATAACTGGTCATAAATTAGAATTCAATTATAGATATAAAATTAAACAAGAAAGGCGGAATATTAAAATGGTTACAGTAAATAACACCACAGATGTGTTTTATAACAGAAAAAACTATTTTTAGCTATGTATACGTAGTAACGCGTTAGATTTTGACAGCAATACTTCTGGCAAGAGTGTCAATTCACGTTGAAAGAAAACAACAGCAGTTCAAGAACGCACTTTGCTTCAACACCAATATAGAACAACAATCCATTGGAAACATGATAAACATGAAGAGTCGATTGCAAATCGATATCCAAGTGAAAAAATTATGATTTTATGTCACTTGAAATTATTTTACGATGCCGATAACAAGTTTCGGTTTTCCGTCAAGTCACGAAACCTCCACTCAAGTATTCCTACCTTCGATTTACGTCACCACTAGTTCTCATGTATAAGATCAATATAAAGAATAAGAAATATTTATTCGAACAACGTAAAATATTCGGGTGTTGGTCTAATACAGTGTAACAAATAGGGATTAATTTTGTCGGCATAGGGCAAGGGTCCTAATAAAAGCAATCCTTTTGGGTCCGGCTGATTCTCTGTGTGATATTAAGTCGGAACAATTTTTCTTGGATGAGACTATAAAGGCCTCTGATTAATGGTTCGTTAGTACCCCGTAGAGTGGTAAAGTACAAAATTTATTACTAATAATTACAGTAAATGTAAAATGGATTATAGATAAATATTCAAAATTCTAGAGAGATTATGTTATGAAATGGAATGAACCTCATTATGAATACCAATTTCCATAAAAGTCACAGACACAAACATTCAGAAAATACAGTTTATTTGAAATTTCGCTGATTCTTAGCTTGCTTGCAGAAATTTTTAAATGTGAACTAATTTTTCCAACCCCGCGGTCGTTATCTAATTTCGCAAAATTGTTTTATGATAAAAATGTAAGCATCCAAATTGTTATATGTCCAACCAGGTATCTGTTCATCAGCTAGTAGGTATTATTATGTAGGTATGCTACGGATGGTACTCGGCGTATTTACGCAATGCTATCCATAAATAAAAGAATGAAAACATTTTTATTACGAATATAGTTTTATGAATTATTTTTAGAGGTATAAATTCGGCAAATGGAAGCTTCAACAAATATTAGTAAATGACGATATTGATTTTTCAAGTTTTTGTGTGTTGTATGGTTAACAAACTATTTATCTTTATCTCTGAGCACATACTTGAGAACAAACATCGATTTAATACTATTGTTAGAGATAAAACGGATAACATGTGTTTAGAAGTATGCCGATACATTCGTGATAAGTGTGCCATAAAATATTGAAACTAAAACTTGTGTGTCTTACAGATAATACAAGAATTTTACATTTTTATAGAAATATTCCTAACAGTAGGTACTTCTGACAAATGAGAAAAATGTTTTAATAAGAAAAAAAACGGCTCATATTCCAATAAATATAGAGTGAACTTCTTGGTCCCAGAAATTGAAAACTATTTCGGTCAAGAATGTGTTACTGGAAACGGATATGGCGTGAGCTACCAACGTAAGGCTCAAAAGGAAAGGAGTCACGCGAAATGCAGACAGATAAAAGAGCAATGGCTGATTGCTTTTGTCGTAAAACGAAATGTTGTAATACCTAATCCACTCTACAGCAGCTCTCTGGCTCACGTATGCTTACGTCAGATAAGATAATTAAATACGTGAAATGCTTACTAAATAATTAACAAGGACGTGATGAAATAGTTGTAAATCGAATATCAATTCAGATACTAAATTTTATCCACCATAAAAGGTTTGTACATGAAAAGACACAGTTTACTTTTAAAACAAGTTGCTAAATAAGAGTAATTAAGATCTTAAGCCGATGCAAATTCTCGTGTTCAGTTCAACGGAAAGATTGGATGAATGCCAGTTCAGAGGATAGCAACAAGCACTTGTAAAAACAAAGAAATAAATTTTATTGCTACCGAAATACGTGAGTGCATGATATAATTGAACAATAGCAATCGTTGCGATGAACCGCAAATGCATTCCATTGAGGCAACGCCTATTAATTCACGATGCCAAATATATTTGACGAAAACAACATTGCAAATGCAACATGGCGCCATAAGAAGAAACAGTTCAGAACATTTATATTATAGCTGAATATAAAAGACATTTCATTAAAAGAAACATGAAAGTGAAGTCGATGTAACGACTCGATAGAGACGTAATGACTTCGTAATAAACACGGCAAGGCACTCTAGTCATACCAGCAAAAAGACTCAGTCTTACTGAGTTCTGTTCCGAACTGTTCTGAAGTCTAGGCATAATAAAATTAATCTTGATATTAGCTTAACCCAGTACACAAAATAGGCTTAACGACCTGCCTGAAGTCACATAGAATAAACAAAAAAAGTCGTAAAAACTGGCACAAAGGTTTACTGGGTTGATGTAAATTCTACTATGAATTCCGTGTCCACATACAATTTTAATACTCTTTTATTACAATTATACAATTTTTATTTCTATGAGCAATTGTAGAAAGTTAAGTGCTAAAAAGCGGCCATCAAATTTGAAAAGAAGCGATGAAAATTTTATTGCTAAATAACTTTTAAATCAGATGGAAAGATACGGAAAGCAGACATGAGATCGCATCTTAGAATTAAATGTCATTGTTAAGTGCTGTTTTATTGTTCCGATAACTTGGTATTCTCGAAAAAGGGAGGAGTTGGTACGAAGGATAGTGCGACGAACTACAATGAAGCTATGGAGCTATAAAAGCGAATACCAGACTAGGGTCGTCGAACCAAGGGCCATGTAATGCGAACTCGCCTGATAGTGACGCTGTTCGCTGGAGGCTTTGCTGACTAAGTACGAACACAGCTATACTATAGGACATAATAGATGCTCAAGTTTTATGTTCGTGAGCCCGTTAGTCGCAGATTCGCTAGAGTGCCTTTAATATTCTTTATGACCATGTTCATTTTTAGAATAAAATAAATGTGTACGCAAGTATTCAATTCGGTCAGAGCTTTGTTTAAATTCTTAATCAAATAATTAATGTCTACAGTAAATTTAGTTCCTGTGATGAATATCAATGCAATGAAGCAGATATTATAAATATCGTGTCTATAAAAGAGTTTAGCGATATCCATGTATTTATCTATCACCAGAAAGCGATTAGATTAGATAAAGAAATACACACTCGTAAAACGCTCCCATTGTAATATAATCCCAGAAATATGATTCATCGGCTGATAACTATTTGCAGTGATATAATGTTACAATGAAATAATTTCTCGTTACTAAGCAAGGACAATTTACCTTCACTTTTGGATTTATCTTGGTATTAATTCTGGAAATATCAAATTTTGTTCATGAAGAAAAATGTACAAATTCAATTTGTTTCCTTTGAACATTTTATTCACCAGTGAACGTTATCCAAAGAGATGACAGCGATTGATCTTACAGATATCAACGTAGTGCCCTTACTATGGACTATGTTCAAAATCTGAGTTCACACTTCACACGCAAGTAACATGAAGCAAGTAGGTCCGGGAACATCAAGGGTATGTTATCATAGTCATAGCTAATCAATATTTATAATATAGGAAAACAAAAATGTTTATAACGATAATAAGAAGATTAGCTACGGATTGTACATGACCTATGAGTAGCAAGCGATGTTTCCGTGAAAGATAACTTCAGATCTAGTGGCAGGGTCAGTTTGTTTTAAGAACCTTACGCAGGTTTTCTAAACATCATTCAATTAAATAGATAATTTGTAACCTTTCTGTATGTATGATGCTATAAAAGTAATTTTTAAAGATATAAGTGGAGACATTTTCGTCACGGATGAGCTTAAAGTTAATGCTAATATGAGGATGTCACGCAAAATTAAACAGCTTAGAGGACATTAAATATTTTGGGAAACATTAAGCTTCACATTAAACCAATGATTAACTTAGTCATTAAAAAGCACTAAAATGTGCACAATATGTAATGCAATGAGGTTGAATGTTGTAAAAATGTTTTCGCTCTCAGAGTGAATTATGCTTAATAACATGAACG